GACGATGATGAGGACAAGGACTCTGGTGAATTCACTATTTACAAGAGGTTCAGTGCAAGACCAATTCTTGCGTCGGTCAATGTTTCTACCGGAGCCATGTTGACCGGTCTCGACGAGTCGTTACCGAACGGAGGATCAGTCTCCGTTACTTCTCAGTGCATCCAAACCTTCCCTTGGATATTTGATATGTGAGATTCAATGCCCGTTGCGTTAATCCCTATGAACTGACCTTTGTCAATACAGCATCCATGACTCTACGCGGGAAGATCTCGTATTCGTCTTATATCAAGGTTGGCTATTCAGCATCTCTGCCGTAGCAGTAGGTATTCGTGTTCACGGAATCGCCCTAGACTTACATGAGACAATTACAGATTTTCAAGCAGTCGATTCCGCACATGTAAGAAAACGATTCAACCTCAAAGGCTTAATGTACTCATGAAATCTCGTATAGCGCGGCTGCTCTCGCATCTGAATGCCTTGCTACTGCCTGGTCTATGTACAAAGTGGTAAAAATCAAGAGCTTCCAAAATGAGTTTAATCGCGTCACGATCAACGGAGTTTGTGCTGGTGTCAATGTTTTACCTCGTTACTTTGAATATCGACAAGCAATTGAGGTGAGTGACTCTGGAAATGCGTTGTTCCAAGTCTCAACAGAATTTAGGCAACCATCCTCGCGTTGAACGTACTCGCCTTTATTGCCTTTGCGATCCTCACCTGGAAGCTTTATGAGGTAACCCCTACTCGCACGAGCATATAAACACATCTGACATTCCATTAGGAGTTTGCTCCCCGCATGTTGAAGCGAGTAGGATCGAGAGAGGATATGATGAGAATCTATAGGGTTGGTTTAAAATCCTCTATGGGCATTGAAGCCAACTAACTCCATCAACAGGTTGTCTTGTCGCTTTCCACAGTTCTTCATCTTTCTGCATTCTTCCTAATTGCCGTAGCTGGTCTTTTCATTGATCAGCTATTCATTGGACGAATCAGTGCTCTTGCAAAGCACCTTGTAGCGTATGAAGCTATCTTCCTTTTGGTGATCGCAGTATGTACTCCATTGGGCCGTTGTAGCAAGGCCTAACAACTTTAATAGCTGACCGTCCCATGGGTTTTGACTGTGGGTCGTGACTAAATACCTTCTTAGCCATTACTGATGCCCTTATAGGGACTTATCTCAACCCGACGGGAATCTCGTATCGGAATGGTCGTGTTCTTTGCCCTCTCTGTGGTGTTCCTGGCGATCTGGGGAGTGATGTTCCGTTCTGATATCTACCGCTTCATGTTTTTCACTTGGCCGTTCTTCGCCACCACAAGTATTACCGCCTGTCTGC